AAAACTGTGAGATAATAAATTTCTGTACTTTAAAGCCACCCACTTGTGGTATTTATATAATGGCAGCACAGTGACCTTGACCACAGTGACCTTGAAGACAGATCAATAGAAGTTATCCTATCTGAACAACAGAAAAAAGATTTTAAATAGTATCGGGGACCTTTTTATAAAAGATCTAACATTGGAGCTATCCGAGTCCTAGAAGAAGAGAAAGATTGCAGTGCAGGAAAAATATTTGAAGAAATAATGGCTGAAAACTTTTTACCAAAATTGGCAAAAGACATAAACCATCAGATTTTAAAAGCTCAGCAAACCACAAACAGGATAAACCCAAAGAAGTCCATGCCCAGACACATCATAATCAAACTAAAGACAGAGAGATCTTGAAAGTAGCCAGAGAAAAACAGCACATTGCTTATAGAGGAAAAACAATTTAAATGAGTGTAGATTTCTCATCAGAAACAATGGAGGCTAGAAAGAAGTAGAAGAACACTTTTTAAACAGAAAAAGAAAAGAACTGTCAACTCAGAATTCTATATTCATCAAATATGTCACCATTTCTGAAGGATACTAAGATATTCTTAGTGAAGGGAAAACTAAGAAAATTCAGTCAACAGATCAGCTTAAAAAAAGAATTGCTAAAGAAATTTCTTCAAACAGAAGGGAACTGATACCAGATGGAAACTTGGAGCACTGGAAGTCAAGGAAGAGCAAATAGAAATAGTAAATATGTAGCTAAGAGGACTGTTCTCCTCTTGAATTCTCTAAAATACTTTTGACAATTGAAAACAAAAATTAAAACATTGTCCAATGTATGTAGATGTGATATGTGACAACTGTAACATAAAAGGGGGAGGGTAAAAGGACCTATGTGGTGGTAAGAGTTCTAGACACCACTTGAAGTAGTAAAATATTGATTCTAAGTAGACTGTGAAAAGTTAAGTATGTATATTGTAATCCCTCAAGCAACCACTAAAACAAATTATACAGAGATACAGTAAAAAAAATACAATAAATTGAATACTAAAAGAGGAAACAGGAACAAAAATCAGAGGGAACCATCAGAAAACTAATAAAATGGTAGACCTAAATCCAAACATTTCAGCGATCACATTAGATAGAAATGGTGTCAATACACCAATTAAAAGAGCCTGAGTTTTGAAGAGTCCCTGGGTAGAGCAAATGTTTTGTGCTGGACTATTAACTGAAAGGTTGGCACTTGAAACCAACTCAGCAGTGCCGTGGAAGAAAGGCCTGGCAATCTGCTTCCATAAAGATTACAGCCAGGAAAATCCTATGGAGCTTGGTTCTACTCTGTAACAAGTAGAGTCTCTATGTGTTGGAATTGACTTGACGGCAGCGGGTTTGGTTTTTGAAGTTGGGCAGATCTGGTTTGAACCCTGTCTCTGCCACTCACTACCTGTGTGGCCTTGGGCAAGAAATTTCACCTCTCTGAGTGTTTCCTCATCTGTAAAATAGGGATAATAATAACACCTACCTCAGAGGCTGCTGCAAAGATGAAATAACATATGTAAGGAGCTTAGTGCATTTATCAGTTAAAAAAGTAGGGAGATAAATATTTGCTCGTCTACGCATAGAATATCTGTGGAAGGACATACAAGAATCTGGTGACACTGGTTGCCCGTGGGAAGACCTGGTGGGCTGGGGGACAGGGACGACAGAGATTTTTGGCCGTTACAGGTCCACAATCTCTTATCCAGAATTCCAGAATCAAAAGAACTTTGAAAAACAGTTTTTTTCTAAGTTTGGTCCTAAAACATGTTTGGTGGCAAAGCCAGAACTGAAGTGGCATGAAGCTCCTTGTATCTTTTTTTTTTTTTTGGTAGGTTTCATATTTTTTTAAAATAATATTTTATTGTGTTTTCAGTGAAGGTTTACACAGCAGTTTAGGTTCCCATTCAACAATTTCTACACAAATTGTTCAGTGACATTGGTTACGTTCTTCACAATGGGTGAGCATTCTCATTATTTCCTTTCTGGTTTTCCTGTTTCCATTAATCTAGTTTCCCTGCCCCCTTAACATTCTCATCTTTGTTTTAAAGTAATTGTTGACCATTTGGAACTCCTCATATCTTCATTTATCTCAGTGTGAATATTCATTCATTTTGCTACAGAAATATTAGGACATTGATTGCAGGGTGCTGCTTAGGAGTATTACATAATATATGTTGGGTGCACCCATCAGACCTTTATAAAATATGAAAAATTCTGAATTCCAAAATGCATGTAGCCTAAGATTATGGGCCTGTGTATCCATTTTTACTTTTTAATTTTGAACCTAGTAAATGTATTACCTATTCAGAAAATTAAATTTAAAAAAATTAATCTTTTCAAAACTAAATTTAGCATAGCTCCTGACACATAGCAAGCTGTCAGGTAAATAGTGGCGGCTGCTGTTATTCCATTCTTCCAGGCCTTTGCCATCAACAAATCTGTTCACTTCCAGTACTGCATTTCACCATCACTACAGACCCTGTGAGTGTTACTACTTAGATTTTACATCTCAAAAAACTGAGGTGCAGAGGTTTCGTGACAGGTCCCTGTCAACCAGCTAGATAAGCCCCAAACCAGAGTCCAGAGCACATCTTGTAACTCCAGTCCTGAGGCCTTGCCGGTTTTCAAGACCACCTCAGCCACCAGAAGGGCATCAGCTGGATTTGTGTGCCCAAGAGAAGCATGCTACTGTTACATAAGGGGAGAAGGGAGCACACAGGAGGACACTGTGTATTGTCAAGATCACCCTCAAGTCCCATAGAGGGGCCCCTATTGGAGCTGGGACACTGGGGCCCAGCCGAGCACTTTTCCCTAAGGTTTACAATGGGTCACTCTTGCCTTCATCTGGTTACCAGATGAAGTTGTAGGGCTTGAGTTCAAAGACTATGTATACAAATTACTTTTTTTTAATCCCCAGGACCCCACTCAACACATCCAGGTGCTCATACCTGAGAGGTGTGAGGGACTGAGACTTGGCTGACGGAGTTGTGGAGAGCAAGACAGGCCCCTCTGCTGTTTGTTTTTAAATGGGTTATAATGTATACATAGTGAGTACACAGAAGTATGTATGTGTTGCAGTGCAGCTTACTGAGTGTGAGCCTAATGAACACCCTGTGATAATTTCATGTACACACATTATTGAGGTGGGCCTTCCTCTCCCCACACTCTTTGGCCCAACAGAGAAAAGTAGAGATGGCTGCCTGTTTCAGAACTGTCAAGGCTCAGTTCTCTCAGGCGTTTTAATGGGCACTGGAAGCTCCCTGTGTTTGCTGCTCCATAGGGGGCAGCATGGAGATGTAAGTTCAAGTGAGATGCTTACTGCCCTCTTGCACTATCTGGTCTGTCCAGTGAGGCAGAATGCTGGAAGCTGCCAGGAACTTTGGCTACCAGCTCCATGAGCCATGGCTTGGGCACAGTGACCTAGGTCAGGAAAACTTCCTTCCCTTGGAAACCTAGCCACTGTCTACCTAAATCACAAAATCCTTTCCTCCCAGTAAGTGGAACTGACTGAAAAGCATCTACTTTTGGATTCTTTCCCAGTTCTTTAATTAATGGCTTCTTACCTCTAAGCTTAGATTAGCTGCCGTGTACAAGGCTTTCCTGAGGTCTGGCAGGAATCTGCCTGTGCCCTAGAACTGTTAGGTCTGCATAGCTCGCCCGGGTTCCAAGCAGATTCTAAAACACCTTTTAAAAATCACTAAATCTTTTTGTTTTATTACAAACAAAGCACACATCCTTTATGGAAAAAAACGGAAAAGTATAAATAAGAAGCTCATCACCAGGAGTAACCATGACTGCACTTTCAGTATGTATCTTTCTAGTTTTATTTACACACACACACACATTTTTTACACAGTTGATTTTCTAGGCTATTGGAGTCCCCTCTCCCACACTTAACACTAGAGCATAAGCATTTTCCACATCCTTTGTAAACATCTGAAGAACATTGTTCCTATTGTTTCCCTGCTGCATTTATGGGCATACCATAATGTACGTAACATCCCCATGTAGGCTGATCCTGGCTTCCTTGATTAATGTCTTTCTGGTGATACTGAATTCTGTATTCTTTCCTTAGGATGGATTCCTAGACATAAAATTACTGGATCAAAGAATATAAAGATGTATAAAGCTTTTAAAAAATAAATATCTGTTATTTGATAGATAATATAAAATTGCTCTCCAGAAAGCACGTACTCATTTTTGCTTCTAGCTCATGTGTTCTCAGTGGTGGGGAAGGAGGTGAAAAAATCTTAGAGATAATCGTTTGTGGCCCTCCAGTGGGCTCCTGTACATAAGCAGATATCTGTGATATTAAATTAATGATCTTTTACACATATATATTATATATGTTTTATATATATGTATGTATGTATTTTGTTATGTGCTGTTGAGTCGGTTCCGACTCATAGCAGCTCTGTGTACAACAGAATGAAACATTGCTCAGTCTTGCGCCATCCTCCTCGTATATATATATAAATATAATTAAATATCTGTGGTATTAAAATTTCACATGGAGGCATAATGAAAAAAGATTGAAAAGCATGGTTGTAGCTGTATACGAGCACCCATCTCATTCCACCCTTTGAGGTTTTAATTTTTGGTTTAGAGTGATACTTGTCTGATAAAAAGTTCTTGATTCTTCATACAAAGTTTAGAAACTTGAGAAAGGATATCAATAAAATAAAATTTATCTGGAGATTGCCACTTTTAATGTTTTCATCTGTCTACAGAATTGGGATCCTCCACGTTTTCAGCTTTGTGTTCGGTTCTTTTCACATAATTGCCACTATAATACTATCGTTGTTAATCTGTGCCAAGGACCAGTTTGAAATATCCCTTGTGCCATGGTCTCATGCAGGTGTTTCCCTGTCCCCCATACCTGAGAGTGCATTTGTGACCTCCCTGCAGGCGTCAGACACAGGCCCCTGAGAGCCCAGGCGCCTGGCTGCTCTGGGACGTGGCTTATTGTCCCTTGTTTGTTTCAGGCGTGATCCTCTGGGCCCGTTTTCTGTCGGGGGAGAGGACTTGGACCCGTTTGGGTGAGTACTGCTGAGGAGGCAACAGCAACATAACTTGTTCTCATTGCTTGTCAGCCCCAGCTCATCTTCTAATTTTAGAGCACTTCGTCAGTCTTGGTTTGGGGTGAAGGAGGCAGGAGCTGAGTGGCTGAGAAATCGTTGCTACTTGTTCTGCTCTGCCATACCCAGAGCCGTGCAGGAGTGCTCTGAGTGTTGGGGCAGGGCTGAGTAAGCCCAGCAGGCTGCTTCTCTGTCATTTCCTGGCCTCGTGTGCCCTGGTGGAGGACAGCAGGTACCCTGGGGTGGCAGGCTTCCACGAGGATTTATCAGGTGTAGGTTGAAGAGTATACTGAAAGGTGGGTTTCAGACCTTTGGGCAGTTCAGAGCTCTTCAGAGGTCACCTCACTTGGTAAGGGGCATCTCTGAGCCCCGTTAGACTCTTTCTGGTTCTTGCTGTCACCCTTCAAAGTTACTGCAACTTCTTCTATGCATTATCTTCTTTGAGTGACCCAGACTAGACTTTACCCTCTGCTGCAAAGTAACCCCAACTTTAATTGACTACACACAACTTGAACAGTGACCTCAACATTTGGGGAATGTCAGCTCATTCATCCTAGTTTGAGCACATGGGGTCAGGTCCATGGAACTTGTACAGGGGGAAATTTCCTCAGGAGCCACACTTGGGCAACCCATAGGCCCCTTAAGGAAACAGCAAAAAAAAACAAGCATCATGAATTATCTCAATGGTCTTATTAGTCCTTAGACCTAAAGTAGTGCCCTATGGAGCCTTATGATGGTCCTGCATCAACTCTGGTGAGTCCTGGCTCCTGTTCTTGATCATATTGGCCCCCTGGGTCTAGGACATGGCAGGGATCTTAACTTTCCAGGCTTGGGGAACCTTACAGAGATGAAGGTACAGGCCTCTCATGTGGAAAGATGTGCTCCTTGTGTTCTTGCTCCTGCCCACTTCCTGCTGGCAGTCAGGCAGGCACCCACGCCAGTTTACCTGGACCATTCAGAGCAGACATCCCAGTCACTCTTGGTCCATTCTCACCTCCCTCACCTCTTCTCCAAGGGCATCTCCTTGCCACACCTGCTTACCCATCTTTCCTTCTTACCTCAGGTGTCGAAGAGGTGGCATGATCGTGGATCCCCTGAGATCCGGCTTCCCCAGAGCACTTATTGACCCGTCCTCAGGCCTCCCGAACCGGCTTCCTCCAGGTGCTGTGCCCCCAGGAGCACGCTTTGACCCCTTTGGACCCATTGGAACCAGCCCGTCAGGGTAGGTATTCACTCAGGCATGCTGAGAAGTAGAACCTGACAGCAGCTTTAGCTCAGCATGGCAGGAGCGAAGGTGTCTCTGACACCAGGCCCACTACCTCCATCCCTTCAGCTGAGAAAGAGGAGCCTCCTCCGGTCCTCTGCCTGATGCCACCCTGGAGCCCTCCAGGAACTCCCCGTTCCCGGGAGCCTCCCTTCCCCCAGCTCCCCTCATGGGAGGGCTCAGAGGAGAAGCTAATGCTGATTGAAAATGTAGTGTGTGTCAGGAACTCACTGGAGCCTTATGTCAACATTCTCTGGTAGATTCTATTATCCACCTTTTACAGATGCAGAAATTGAGGCCCTGAGAAGTAACTTATCTAAGTTCCTACAGCTAACAAGTGGAAGAGTTAGGATTCACACCCAGGCTGCCTGGCTCTAGAGCACATGCTCTTAAACCCCAAGAACCACCACATCGTTCTGGAGGGCAGATTCCCTCAGTTCAAGGCCATGTCTGCCTGTGTGTCCCTGGCCCCTCCATCACTCCAACTCACCAGCCCCTCTTTCCATTCCAGACCTAACCCAGACCATCTCCCCCCGCCGGGCTACGATGACATGTACCTGTGAAGGCCTCAAGAATGTAACATCCCAGCCTTCCCACCACTCTCCTGGAGCTGCCACTGTTGGCCCTATCAGCAACTGTGTTCTGGCAGGCTGGGGGCAAGGGACTCAGCCCATGTGTTTGCAGGCCGGCTGGGATTGCCTTCCCACCCCCTCCCAGAGCCACGGTATCTGCTGCAGCTCTCCACCTGGCTGTATATAGGTCCCAAGGAGAAGTCTCTCACCACCAGCTCCTCCCCACCTCCTAGGGGAGACCCTGGCAACATATACCCTCGACCCGATGCAGCGCTATAAGAACAGAACGCATTTTGGATGTTATTATTAAGAACCAAATGTCAATACAAAAATCATGTTGCCGGTCTCCCACTTTTCTTTTTTACTTTTAGTGTACAGCTCCTGCCAGTTATGGGACTTGAGAGTTTGAATCTTTGTGGGATTAAGGGACTCCTCCTACCCAGGGCCCATTTTTGCTTCTCAGGTGTCTTCGTTTGATAAATTGTTACTGTTCTTGACATCACTGTGATAGGTCCCAGTCTGGCTGTGTAGATGGAAGTGGGTGACTGGAAACCCAGTGGGCTACAAGGATAACTTTCACGATGGTAGGCACATTGGGAAAAGACAGTGTCATTCTGACAATGGTGAAATCCTCCAGTTCTGCCTGTTCTGGGCTGGTCCTCTGGGTCTTCCTGGGCCTGGGCAGTAGCAGCCCAGCAACAGGGGAGCAAACAGACCTGAAGGCTAATCTCATTTTTGCCACTAACTTACTGAGTGACCCTAAGCAAGTCCCTTCCCTCACAGGGCCTGTGTGCCCACCTATAAAATTTGAGGTACATTTCCTTCTCTAAAACACTCTGATGTCTGTTTCTGTATATGGCAACCCATAGGAACTGGGGCCATGGCTTTGTGTGGCACTTAGCTACAGGACCTGTAAACTCAGGAGTATGGGCTCCGAGAATGGTGTTGAACTTCGGGAGAAGCAAGGAACCCCAGCCTCTAGAAGCCAGTGGTAGTGAAGCAGGACACAACCCAGGAAAGCACTTCACCCCCAAGGAGCCCCCATCTCTGGAAGTCTGTGTCCTATGTCCAGGCCCACCTGACCTTTGGTGTTCTCCGGATCCTTTGCAGCCCGAGACCTGACAGACGTGGTCAGTGATGAACCCGTGTGCTGGCGTGGAAAGAGCACCACAGAGCACCAGGCTAAGAGGCAAGAGACAAGGCGCTAGTCACTTACGTTTGGCAACTAGCACTTAAGGCATGGATGGGTCCTTTCATTTCTCAGAACCTTGGGTTCCTCCCCGTAAATTACAGCATATTAGTTACCTCTAGGCAGGGGGCTACTAGCTTTCTTAAGTTGCCTACTTGTGTTCTATAGTCTAGGATTGTCTGTCTGCTCAGCTTGCAGATGAGTCAGGGGTAAACTAAACTGACAAATAGGCCCTGGGTCAGTCTCAGATGGAGGCTGGGCCTGGGTGGGGAGGCTAGCAGGAGCTGGCTCCCCAAGTATTTCTGGCAGACCCATCTCAAGTACTGATTTAGTAAAAGATCCCAGAGACAGGAGAGCTGACCAGCTTGAAGTCTTCAGAACGTCTCTGCCTTGCACAAAGACCCAGAGATCAGGTAGAGCTACAGGCACACTCATCAATCATAGTCTTCTTCCTCGGGGGCTGGCACATGGGTGGAATGTTAGCTTTTGTTTTGGAATTGGCCCATACCTGCAACTGGAAGAACTTGGGACAATTTGTTCATAAGAACATCCTTTATTATAAAAGGAAGCATTTAAAGGACCATCAGACAGAAGCAGGGAAGATAGATAACTTTTAGGATCCTGATTTTAGTAAAAGACAAAACAATAAATTTGATACTTCAATTTTCTAGTAGAAAGTTCGAAAGGAAAACGCTTTGGGTTGTCGTACATATAACTGTTTTCTGAACAGAATCAGCCATTTTCCTGGAGCTAAATCCAGGAAACATTTTCTGTGTGGGTCTCCTTGCATCAAGGACACGGAGGAACAACATCTTAGATGTTATGTCGGGGAGAAGTGAATGGGGCCTTTAGGAACTTCCTAGTCCAGCTGTCAGTGCTTGTTTTGGTCTGGGCCATGTTCCTCCCTCCAGCTGTGAAGTCACCAAGCAATAATGGGGATACTTCAGGTGTGTGTTTTGTGGAGCCCAAAAGCTGAAGGCTTAACAATAAACATCAGCACTTAATAACCTGCTCCTCTATTTTTTTCAATAACAACTTTATTGAGATATAATTCACATACCATAAAGTTCACCCTTCTGAAGTGTGCCATTCGGTGGTTTTCAGTATATTCAGTGTTGTGCAGCCATCACCATTTCTAATTCCTGAACGTTTTCATCACCCCAAAAAGGAGCCCCATCACCATTAGCAGCACTCCCATTTCCCCCTCCCCCTAGCCCCGGCAACCATTAATCTCCTTTTTATCTCTAAGGATTTGCCTATTCTGGACATCTGTCATAAATGGAATCCCACAGTATGTGGCCTTTTGTCTGGCTTCTTCCATTTAGCATATTTTCAAGATTCATACATGTGGTAGCATGTATCAGTACTTCATTCCTTTTTATGGCTGAATAATATTGTTACACCACATTTTGTTGACCTGGTCATCAGCTGGTGGACATTTAGATTATTTCCATTTTTTCCCATGAATGATGCTACTATGAACATCATGTGCAGGTTTTTGTGTGGACGTATCTCTTCATTTCTCTGGGAGTAGAATTGCTGGGTGATATGATAACTCGATGATTCACTTTTTGAGGAACTGCCAAACCGTTTTCACAGCAGTTCTGCACCATTTTACATTCCCTCCAGCAGTGTATGAGGGTTACAGTTTCTCCACATCCTCGCCAACACTTGTTAGCATTTGTCTTCCTGCTTATAGCCACCCTAGTGGGTGTAAAGTGGTTATCTTATTGTGGTTTTGTTGTGTTTTTTTAAAAAAAGAAAATTTTGACATAGGCCAAGCAAGGCAGAGACCAGAGCCAATCACCGTAGAGGAGCAGATGATGGCTTTGATAATTGCCACCTTGGGCTGACCATGGCTTATGAGCTGCAGAGGAGTTGGGTTTGACTTTTGGAGAAGGTTCTGGGCTGGATGTAAAACAGAACAGGTCCTATCTCTAGGAAGGTTTCCATGACCTTTCCAGGTCTAGTGAGCTCCACAGGCATTACCTCTGCTTGGTTTTAAAATTTCTTTTCAGTCAAGTGACTTTACAAGTAAAATAAATGTCTGGTTCCAAATCATTGTCTTTTGGTGCTGAAGTGCCATAGACAATTCATTTCCAAGACGAACCATCAGTCCCCACACCCCAACCTTTGCTTCCTTGACTTGTCTCCTCCCCAGTTTTTAGAGCTAGTATTTATCCTCTCAGTCATGGACTTCGTCAGCCTCCATGGTGAAGTCATGAGTCTCGTAAGACACCATCTCCAAGAATGTATTGTGCTCAAAATGTAGACTGCCTCTGTATTACTGGATAGATGGTCAGTACCTGTTCACCCTCAAGTACTTAGAAAAGCCCCATAGAACCTCACTCTTTGGAATTCAGCTTCCTTTGTGGCCTCTCTTTGTAGTGTCAGTGACATGTTGTTCCTGATCCATGCCCCTCTTCACAGGAGGAATATTAGAATCCATGAAGCGGTTCATATCCTATCATCTTTTACTCTTGTCTGCTTTGGTGCAGTTCCTGTAAGAAACCAAGGAGAAGAAAGATTCCCCACATGCGTAACCCCAGCTTTTTCTGTCATCAAACTTGCATGCTTGCAGCCACTCAATATTTTGCACCAAAAAAGAGACTCAAAGGCAGGCTTCTAAGCCCCTAGCCCTTGTTTGCCCTTAGGATACCACAAGGCACACCCTATCACTCCAGCTGTGCTTGGCCCCGAATCTGCCCTGGAGGGTAAGTTACAAAGGCAGAGGTGTCAGGCACTGAGGGGTGGCAGCAAGGCCCAGGGGACTGAAGACAGGTCTTCGAATGCAAGGAGCAGCAATGACAAGTTTGACACCCGACTAGTGGCAGGGCCCTGTGGGGGGCATAAGGTGGAAGGCTCAGCCCCTGTTTGGAGGAATGGTGGGCTGATAGTGCAGTCTAATAGAGAAGGCTGGATGTGCCTGAGAGAGGCTGTGTCCAGGTGAGCTGCATAAGGTGAGTTTGGTGAGAATCACAGCGTGATGGGTGATGGGGAGGAGGGAGTGGGCCCTGCTGAGGTGTTAGTCCTGCTGGAGTACAGCTGCAGGAAACAAACCATTTTAACTATTGTAAACAAAAAGATTTAGGTACAGAGATCAGCAGGATCACAGCATCATTGCCATGATCTGGGGATCAGGAAATTCCAGAGCCTCCCACAACTGCCTCGACTTGCACCAGGAAATGGATGACCTTCATACTGCTACCTCGACCCCTACTCAGCTCAGTTTCAAAGGCAAGGCTCAGTTGAATGCATCTAGTTGTTGGAACTACATCACCTCCTGAACCATAGCTGCAAGGGAGCCTGGGAAAATCTCCTTGCTCCCTTTTCCCATCTTGCCATTCAGTACGGCACATTAGGAAGCTGGGACAGAGGTCTAGTGAGCCAGTCTCCTGGGCCTTCACCACGTATCATGATACAGATGGGTCCACAGCCACGCGTCCCCAGCTTGCCCAAGCCCAACAGTCTGAGATAACTTGCTCAAAGCACACATTCCAACATCCTGGCCCCAGCCCAAACCTGAATCCAAATCTCCAGAGAAGGGCCTGCAAATCCGTGTCTTCTGAGCTCCTTGAGTGATTCATATTATCAGGCAGGTTTGAGAACTGAAAAAGTAAAGGAAAACCCTATGTCCTAGCAGCTCAGACTGTAGCAGCAGCATTACCCAGGAGTTTGTTAGAAATGCACACACTCAGGCTCCGCCCCAGACCTGCTGACTGAGAATCTGCGTTTTAGCAAACTCCGCAGGTCATTCGTGTGCAGGTTAAAGTTTAAGCTCTGGTCAGGTTAAAGTTTAAGAAGCTCTGGTCTACAAACTCCATCTCCTTTTCCCTCACCTGGATCTCAGCTGCAAAGAATTGAGTCACTCGTTCTTGGTTCCTAGTATATTATGTATGATCAACGCATGCAAGAACCCTCTCTTACTCCTAGTCTCTATTCCCTTGCCCCCAGGAGTCACTCAGATGTGTTCCACATATGTCCTTCAATATATGTATATCCTTATAAAATAGCATATGTATCTTCAAATCATAACCATAGGGGGGTACCATCCCCTTTTTTTAGACCAGAAAAATAGTTTGGAAAGGTCCAGTAATTTGCTGAAGACGAAGCAGGGCCCTCAGCATCAGGCAGGCATGGCTGTGACTCCCAGCCCGCCCTTTGCCAGTGCGTGGACTTCCTCATCTGCAAAATGAGCGTCACCCCCACCTGCAGGATTGTTGCAGGAACCAGCCAAAAATGTATCTTATTAGGTGGTTGGGTGGTGCAGTGGTTAAGTGCTCGGTTGCTAACCAAAAGGTCAGCAGTTTGAACCCATCAGCTGCTCTGCAGGAGAAAGGTGTGGCAGTCTGCTTCCATGAAGATTACAGCCTTGGAAACTCTAGGGGGCAGTTCTACTTTGTCCTATAGGGTCGCTATGAGTCAGGATCAACTCGGCAGCAATGGGTTTGGTTTTGGTTTTTTCATTTGGGGCTCAGTGGATGCCAGCTGTTATTTTTACTGAGGGTGGGTAGGTTGGTAAGGGTGGGGGCTCAAGGACAAGAGGAGAGGAACGCTGGGCTGCCCCACAATGCAGGAAACAAGCACGTGCCTGGTGCCCACAGTGTTCTGGGCTTTTCCCTCCTAATCTCATGTAGTCCTCCTTAACAATCCCTGAGGTGAAAATACTATTGGCAGCATTAGTCAAGGTGCTGGGCTTGCCCCTCTCGGGTGGCAGAACCACAGTTGGAACCTGGGTCAGCCTAATTCTAAAGCCAGTGCTCTTTTTAGTAGAACCACTGCATCCAGACTTCACAACCTCTCTCCAGGTGAAGAGCATAGGTGCCTGGGCAAAACCCACTCCTGAAGCTAGAAAGCCAATAAGGACAAATGTGGGAAAGGAAAAACGCTGCATAATTTCCAGGAGAGCTGAGAGTCAGTCTTGTTTGCAAAGTGTGTCTTATGTTTCTGAGCACTTCCATCTACAGCCATGGTGCCCAGAGCACCCAGGTTAGCAGGAGCATATGGTACCACCTAGCACAACCTCCATCCCACAAGGGAAGAAATGGGCCCGGAGCCCCTCTGTGAGGGTGAGCTCCTGAGAGACTTCACAGTGCCCCATGGGTGGGCCTGGGCTCTGTGCAGGGCTTTGTCACCTGCCCCAAGTGATGCTCACCTCAGCCTGCGAGTTCAGGAGGAGGGGAGCTACTCTCCATTTAACAGGTGGGAAGAGCAGGTCTAGAGCAGCTGGAAGAAACCCACAGGCCACAGAAATCCTGACTGCAAGTCCAAGGCTTTCCCATAAACACTGTGTGCAAAACAGTCAGGGGAGTCCCTAAGTGACAAAAATATGGGGATCCCCTTTCCACGTCCCTTTCTCCCCTCAGCTAGGGAGAATATTAAGAGGAAGGTGCCTGACAGGTTCAGCACCCTGGCCAGCGCCCATCCTCCTCGATGCTACCAGAGGCAGCCCGCAGGCCAGATTAGGCCTAACGGTATCCGCAGCTACCCAGTCCAGGGTGGTCCACTCCTGGGGCTGGTGGGCAGGCATCCCAGGGACCTGGACCTGGGTGTCCTGCCTCCCAGACAGAGCCCCGCCCTTTCCTCCAGATTGGAACCACAGGAGCAGTCTCCGACAGGCATTTTGGTTCCCAGAGCATAAATTCAAGTAAGAAGCGTATGAAGGAGAGAGACGGTCAAGAGGCTTGAGCCATGGTGACCCTGGACAAGTACTGTCCCCCTTTGGCTTTCCCATCTGCAAAATCAGGTGAGTGGACCTGACTGTCTCCAAGAGCCTAGCCAGCTGTGAGGTTCCATGATGCTAAGTGGGCCATGAGCCTGACGGAGTTCAGTACCCTACTTGTCCTCCTGCTCTCCCCCACAGAGCCTCCCAATTTACATCGAAACGTCGGGCCTCAAAAAGGCAGCCCACAGCCCAGATCCTTCCACTAACATGCCCTGACTGGCCTGCATGGCATGTTTTTAAATTTGAGTCATGACTACTGTTTACCAGCTGTGTGACCTTGGACAAGTCATTTAACCTTCCTGTGCCTCAGCATCCTCATCTGTAAAGTGGAGACAATGATAGTACCCACTCCACAGGGCTGTTGTGAGGTTTAAACGAGCAAGTAGATGTGAAGCACTTGGAAGAGTGCCTGCCACAGGAAGAACATTATATTTTGTT